ATTTATGACTCTGATGGTGTTGTGAGGGTTCTGACCTTGGGAAGGTATTCTGTGTGGTGAAAGCACAGTTTGTGTGTGTGTGTGTATTCACTAAAATGCCCATTTTAGTAGAACAGTTTGGATTGCCATGTTTTCTGATTCCCATGAAGTCCAAAAGCAGTCACTTAAACCTGGAAATCCAATTAGGTTTGGTCCTCTATTATTCTCTCCAGGACATAAAAGGGTCAAAGATATTTAAAAATTGTAGGTTTCCCCTGAGAGATTCAATCATTTCTATTTTAGGACTCCAGGATTTTGTTAACTTGTGACTGGGTACATCTGGGAAAGTCAAGTTGCCTAGGAACAGATGGTGGAATCCACCATGCTTTCTTTACCCTAAAGTCAAGCACTTTTATTTTTCTTTTTTCCTAAAAGGAAATGCTAAACTATGTGATGTGATGAAGGTGTTATCTAATGCTATGGTGGCAATAATTTTTAATGCACATGTAAGCCAAATGCTTTTCTAAAAGAACCCTTCTTAATGAAAAGATGTGAAGACATTCTTAGTTTAGATACCAAGCATTCAGGTCACTGGCCGGATACTATCTGGGATGGAATCTTAACATACCTTTGTACTATGACCCTACTTAGAGGAACAAAAGGGTAGTAATCTGGTTGGACACAGAGTCTGGCTTTCTCAATAGTTATCTGATTTGGGAAACCTCTGTGCTTCAGGAAAGCAGCCCCTTAACTTCCTACCCCTTCTTTAATGTGATAGGCCTGCCATCTACGGATGCGGGCTTCCTTACTTTTCTCCCTGCTTTTGACATCTGCTCATCCTCCACCCCATTAGCTCCTCTACCTGGTAGCAGCTGACAGAGAGGGGATGTCAGACTCACCAATTAGTCCCTCATCCCTCTAAGTAGTGTAGATGGGATTGTCTGAGACCCAAATTACTCACTCTGCTCGTTGTCACAACCTTCTCTGTCTCTTCATATCCTGAATAAGCCCAGGAAAACTCTGCAACTAAGATGTTACCTTTATGCCCCTGGCTGGATGCTTTAGTGTGTTGCTGCTCCACAGGGATGTCCAGTCACAAAGGAGACTTTGCTTATTTTTTTCTGCACAGTGAGAAAATTGGAACCTCTGTGCATTCTTGGTAGTGATGTAAACTGCTGTAGCCACTGTGGAAGATACTATGGAGGTTCCTCAGAAATTAAAGAATAGAACTGTATTAATGGTTAATTAATCCTACTTCTGGATGCATACCCAATAGAAATGATATCAGGATCTTGAACAGAGATCTGCAGAAACATCTTAAGTCCATATTTATGTTTCCAAATATTGGCCTCTAAATCCTGCTTTCAACGTACTCATTCCCCACCCCAGTTTTTTGCCAGTGTTGCTGATATTGAGCAAAGTGCCTGCCTGTGTGTCACCCTTGGGATAACTAGAATGAGGGAGTCCCTCCCCTAGGGACACTGAATTTTAAAAGGTGAGGTAGAAGAGAGTGATGTATAACTAAAGTCTAGAGTTGCTAATGTTATATTTTTAGGCAACAGTGGGTGGTCAGAGAAAGGCTTCTTGAAGGAGCCTTTTGGAACAAGGGATGCTCATTTGCACCATAGATGTGACAGCCTATACCTACAGCTATGATTGCTTGAAATGTAGTGTAAACTTAGTAAGTAATTGTTAAATAAGTGAATAAAAAACTTCAGGCTATTTATTTGGGATTATGATTCATAAATAGTTTTGTTAAAGTAATGTTTCAGAAGCCACCTCTGGGCCATTCCCTTAGCCAGGGTCTGAAGGCATCATTGCGAATCAGGAATCCATGCTGTCTTTAAGGAACTAGGATCAGTACAAAGGGTAATTTCAATAGCAGCTTGTAAGTGCTCTAAAAAAGGTGTATGCAATCAACAAAGGGAACAGAAAGAGAAGATCGAGGAGCAGGATGAAGAGCACAGAACATTTGATACCTTCTGGAGAAGATGAGAGTCTTCTACTTAAGAGGGAAAAAGTTGTGGGGAGTACTATTGCAGCCAAGAATGCTGGGGGATTCACTCCCTAGCCTTGAGTGGTGATGGATCCATCATTCTGCTGCCACCACATGCTACATTCTTTCACCATCTTCATTCTTTCATCCATTAAAGCATCACTTACTGAGTGGTGAGCTTTTATGTGCCAGGCCCATGCTAACTAACATATAGTCCCTGATTCTTAGCCTCAAGAATTTTACCATCTCATATACAATTATATACAATTACAGTATAGTGGCTTAAAAACAACAATTGAAGGAAGCCCACGGTGCTCAGGGATCACTGTTGAAACCCCTGACACAGCTTGGGTGAGAATTAGCAAAATTCCAATTCTGGAGCCTGAATGGAAATTACATTTTAATAGAGAGAAAGTATAATTATTTTGCTTCCTTACTTCCTCTGCATTTTAATTCTGTACTTTGAATACCAATGAATCAGCTTATTCAGGCTCTTTCCTGTCTCTTAAAATAGAGGAGTACCCTGCACATATAGTAATTGTGTATTGTATACCAATGCTCCTTGACTTCTTCTGGAATTATCTTTGGTAAACTCATTGTGGTTTGAAAATGCAGTGTATATATGTATGTGTGCACATATAAATACACATATACACATATGTTTTGAAATATGCATATGTATTTCCTCATACTTTTTAGTTTTTATAAATTTCAAACTATGGAAAATTAAAAGGCTATTATAATAAACACTTGTTTTCCCATCACCTAAATTGATAACATTTTTGTCATATTGTTTTGTCTCCCTATCTATTCATCTCTTTTTCCCACTCTCTTACACTCATATATTCACACACATGCACATACACACATGGACACTTGTAATTTTCACTGATTTCCTTGAAAATAAATTGTAGACATTATAATCTTTCTCAATAAATATTAAGTATGTATATCCTAAAGGTAGATTTTCCTATACAACCACAGCGCCATTTTCAAAATTAAACAAATTATACTAACCTAATATCATAAATAAACAATATATGTCTAAAGTTCACAACTGTTCTAGTAATGGATTGTTAATGCGGGCATTTGGTTATGGTTAAGCCCCTTTAATCTCTTTTAATTTAGATTAATTCCCCTGGCATGGTTTTTATAACATCACAAGTAAATTCCAGGCTTGGGGTTTATGTGTGTGTGTGTGTGTGTTGCTTCCCATATGCAAGATTTTTCTGGTGATTTCCTCATGGTTAGGTTCGGGTTGAATATCTTTGGTAGGGATTTTGCATATATGATGTCCTTAATGTTCATAACAATAGGGTAAAGCCAAATTATCCCACTATGGGTTAAGTTTTATCCCTTGCTTAAGGTAGTTATTGTCAATCTCTTTATTGTAAAGGTACATTTATTCTTTTGTATTTAGTAACTAAACTTTGCAGTGATATTTTGAGACTTTGTAAATATTCTGTTTTTCAATATCCTTTAAGTATTTTTAATTACTTTAAATTACATTAGCCCTGGCTGGTGTAGCTCAGTGGATTGAGCACGGGCCTGCGAACCAGACAATTGCGGTTTGATTCCCAGTCAGGGCACATGCCTGGGTTGCAGGCTGGTTGGTTCCCTGCAGGCCAGTTCCCAGCAGGGGACACACGAAAGGCAACCACACATTGATGTTTCTCTCCCTCTCTCCTTCCCTTCCCCTCTAAAGATAAATAAATAAAATCTTTAAAAAATAAGTAAATTACATTAAAAACTGTAGAAAGGTAATTTTCTAAATCTGTCAATATCTTTGCACTTATTACATGCCATTCTTTTATAAAGAAGAGTTTTCTTCTTCCTTTTTCCCCCCCATTTGTATATTTTCAATGTTCTAGTTGACCTACCTTTGGCCACTGGTAGCTTCTCCAAATGAGTTTCTGCATTTGTTCATATTTTTTACATTATCCTATTGTTTTTGTGTTCTTTATTGCTTTCAGGCATGTATCACCTTTTGTTTTCAGTTGTTTCATACTTGGAATTAGCAATTGTTCCATGGATTCCAGGGTTCTGTAGTGGGAAATGGCATTTAGAAATAGTAGGGGGCGCTAGCTCTGCTTCTCACTACTGGTGTCATTGCTTCTAAGGACTTCCGGAGGCCCAAGGAGGAAACACAGAGATAAAAGTTTTTAAAAATATGTCTACATTTTTTCCCATTACTGTTGACACAGATTTAATTTCAACTTCCATTTTTTTCTAGACTCTTCCAACAACCTCCTACATGCAGTCTTTTTCTCCTCCACTCTTACCTTTTCAATCTGATATACACAGGTAAGCCAGTGCAAATTTTACAATGTGATAGCCTTTCCATGGCTGACTCTCAGACAAAGAGTAAAGGCCAAATATTTCAATCAGATCTGAAACACCCCAGAAGTCTCACCATTGCTCATTGTCTCTAGTTCATCTCCTGTCCTTCTTCCTCCAAGACCTACACAAATTCTGAGTCACATATGATGACTACTAGCCTTTCTGGAAGCAGACCAAATAATTACACACCTCAGTATTCTTACATTGTTTTCCTTTATTAGGTGTGCCTTCCCCTTGCCCACCTTTTCTGCCTGACTGACTCCCTCTCACCTTCCTCCTTCTTACCCAAATACTTTCCAATTTCCTCTCAAAAAGGCAATAAACCCTCTTGTAGATTCCTAAGCATTTGGTATGTACCTAGCAAAGCCTCAGTATACTTGGTTATAATGGTGTAGTTATAAGCCTTTCTCCTCCAAAGTAGGGAAAAGATCTTGCATGGTTCATGTTAATATCTAGTAATGAGCACAGATTCTTAAACAAATAAACACTGGATGCAACAGCTGAAATTAATGAGTGCAGAAAAGAATCAAGACTGTTCTTCACTTATCAGTCTGAGGGTTTCCATTTGCTTGTCATACTCTTGACTGAGTGTCTGGGTCAAGGCTCAAAATAAGGGCTTTCTGGGAAAAGATATGATTGTTCAGCCATGTTTCCCCCAAAACTTTGTGGTTTCTTCTTGATTTTATCAGCCTTGGCCCTTCCCCCTCAGCACTCTGAGCATAGCTTCTCTGATGGGCTTGGATTTCACACTGTAGATGATGGGGTTGAGCACAGGGGGCACCACCAGGTACACATAGGCAATAAGAGCATGTACAATGTGAGGCAGGTGCTTTCCATAACGGTGGATCATGGACACACCTATGACTGGGATGTAGAAAACCAGAACAGCTAAGATATGAGAAATACAAGTATTGAGGGCCCGAATGCGCTCTCTGGGAGAGGCCAGGCCCATCACTGTATGAAGAATAAGGGTATAAGATAGGACAATAAGCAAGGAGTCTATACCCGCTGTGGACAGAACTACATACAACCCATAAAGGATATTGATGGTAATGTCTGCACAGGCCTTTTTCATGACATCTGCATGGAAGCAGAATGAATGGGATAGAAGGATCTTGCCAGGACAAAAGTTGAGTCTCTTTAGTAAGAAGGGTAATGGGAGGAGGGACACAGTGGCTCTAGCCACAATGGTCAGTCCAATCCTGGTGATGACAGTATTGGTGAGGATAGCTGCATAGTGCAAGGGCTTGGAGATGGCCACAAAGCGGTCAAATGACATGGCCAGGAGCACCGAGGACTCCACTGCAGAGAAGGAGTGGAGGAAGAACATTTGGGTCAGGCAGGCATTGAAGGCAATGAGACTATGGTCAAACCAGAGCACAGCCAGGGTGGTGGGCAGTGTGGACAAGGTGAGGCCCACATCAGTGAGGGCCAGCATGGACAGGAAGTAGTACATGGGCTGGTGCAGGCTGGGAGTCCTCCTCACAGCCAGGAGGATGAGGCAGTTTCCAGTGAGGGCTACAGTGTACATGCAGGAGAAAGGAATGGAGATCCAGCCATGAAAGGCCTCCAGCCCTGGGATGCCAATCATCAGGAAAGCAGGCGGCTGGAAGAAGGAGGTGTTGACATAGGACTGGGAAGGGAGCATCCTTGAAAGACAGATGAGGTCTCCAGAAACATGACTTCAGTCTTGGCAGAAAAATAAGAAGACATGACACAATTATTGGAAAACAATACCAGCTCTGAATTAAGTGACATGGGTTTATATGCAATAGCAAATATAAAATATAAAGATTAAAAAATGTACTTCAATCATATGATTCTTGTCTTTTCCCCTCCTGTTATGGGGGCTATAAAATGCAAAGCAACAAATGAACAAACAAACAAGCAAACGAACAAACAAACTCATAAATGCAAACAGTAGAAGACAGTTACCTGAAAGGTGGTGGAATGTGGGGGAAGATGAAGAGGTAAAGTGGGTCAAATATATGATGATGGAAGGACACTAAGCTTCAGAGAGCGAGCACATAATAGAATATACTGATACTGTATATTACTAAGTTTTATACTTAAAATTTATATAATGTTAGTAACCAATGTTATCCCAATAAATTTAATATAAAGTGTACTGCAACTAAAAGCAAACTAGAGAATTACTAAATTTTAATTTGTTGAGTATGAAAGTATCATTTAATCTATTAAACACTAATCTATCCATGAACTGAAGAAAACAATGATTTAAAAATATATGTGAAATAATTCTAAAGCCTCTAATCAAAACCACCCTATTTTAAACGACAAAGAGTGACCTCCTGGAAAACAGTTGTTAACATATTGTAGAAGCCTGAAGCGTTGACAGTATGGGTTCGTCATCTTTGGTTTTCTGAGTTGCTTTATATCCTAAATACAAAGTAGTAAATAAACAAGAACACTTTAAAGGTAGGTTAATAAAAATAACATGAGAGAAACAGCCACCCAAATATCTTTGAGCAGACGTTTTAAAAACCATCAAAAATAAGCCTGTGAGTTCAGAGAGGTTTTAGTCTGAATGCTGGGCTGTAGAATTATGCTATATTTAGCCAATGTAATGGGTTTGCTCTGCAGGTAAGAATGACCTTCTTTTTTTTTCCCCTTTAGGAAGTGGGAGAGTGCCTCTAGAGCAGAAGATTGTGCATATTATGATAGAATATTTTCAAAAGAAATAATATTGCTGATAGTGTCAGTTCTGTCAGCCTCTATTCTTTCTCAGATTTTTTTTGGCAAATATGAAGCAAAGGTGTAGCTCACCCCATTCAAAGATTAGTGAAAAGCAGAGAAAGTCCAACATAGAATTTAAGCAGATATATTTTGTAAAAAGTCAAAGGGACAAAACAAGTTACAGGTGTGTAAAAATACTCTTGGACATCAGGAATGATTCAGGAAAGAGAAAAAATTCTGTATAAAACTTTCCTAAATAAAGCAATTAGGGAAATCATGAACCAAATCCAAAAATTTGTGATAGTGAAGTATAAAAATGAGTTGCTAATAAAAAGAAGAAGCTGATGAGAATGCCAGACTGGAGGATGACTTGACGCATCCTCTCAGGCGTTCCTTGTTGTGAGAGGCTGTGGGGGACATCTCTCTCTGGAAATGTGGTCTGATATTCCACCTCGTCTCTGAGCTGTAACTCTCTGAACCTTAGGAACACAGACTCCTCAGGCTCTCTTTTTCAAGCAGAGGATGAGACTACTATCTCTTTCATTGTCCCAGACTGATTATTTCTCCTTCTCTGCTTTATTTCCAGACCATTCCCATTAACATCTCCATCAGCTGCTGAGATGCCACAGTCACCCATCTGGGAAGTGGGGACGTGGGTGTGTTGGACCCCAGGTTACTCACCCTGGCTGTTGTCTCAGGCTGCTCTGCCTCTCCACAGTATGCAGGAGCCCAGGATGTCTTTGTGGCAGAGGAACTGAGTTTTATCCTGTTGCACAGAGATGCCTGAGAGGCAGTGCCCATCTCCAGGGAAAGAGAGGTTTGGGCCACAGGGGAATCACTCCACTTACATCCCTGGGGAATGAAAATGCTGGGGCTCCTTTTGGAATCAGGGGAAGTGTTTAGAGAAGTAAACACTAAGGGGGAAGAGAGACAGAATCATAGACTCTACAATATCCCCCCAATTTAAATTGTTCTATTCAGAGATTATTAGCTTCAAGGGCCCACCTGCATTCGAAATCCATTCAGGAGAACATTCCTAGTGAGGCTCCAAGATGAATCCCACAGGACTTCCTAAGTCTTTGCAGAGAGTAAGGATATAGAGTGATATATTGAGAACCTAAATTATTGGCCTAACCCAGCTGAGGGAGTCAGGGAAAGCTCCCTAGAGGAGGTAGAGAAGGAGCAGACTTCTGAAAGGCCCACAGACCCTGTGCTAAAGACTCAGCTCTCATTCTAGGACAGATATCAGGACTCGGGTCTTGTAGCTTCAGACTGGGGCTGTTGAAGGGGAGGGAGCTTGGACAGTGAGGAGAGCGCTATAGAGCCCATCAGACATGGGTTCTAATTCTTGCTCTGTTTCTCACCACATACAAGGTCTGTCTCTGTTCTTTTCCACTTTCTGTGGAGAGCTCCCTGCCAAATAGCTTTGGCCTCAGATGTTTCATATGTCAATTTGGACTAAGGTCATTGAGCTGGAGCTACTTTCTATGGACGCATTTACTTCTCTTTGATTTTGGTTGCACCCTCCCAGCTGAACTGGGTTTAGACTGTCTGCTTTTCCCCCCAGAGGTAATACTCACACTTAGGGAATAATCACACAGCTTTGAAATACTGTATCAAAATGAATTCATGGTGACTAACCTGAGCTGAGATGTTAGCATCACTTCACAATTCTTTCCTTTCAGTTCTTAAATTGTCATCATTCTTCTCAAGTTCTCTATCCAACCTTTCATCTTGACTGTCAGTGGGTAACTTGATATTGCTCCTAACTTCATGCAGGAAATGGAGGCCATCAAGTGTGTCCAATCCATCTGCTGTCTTAATCACTTCTACTCCCACACCCTGCAAGAGAGACCACTCTATGGCACTTGGAGCCTCTTGTCAATCCCTCTCCATCCTTTGAACCACTTCTCTGTTGGCTGCTTATCACTTACAGGAAAAATAATTTAAATGCTATAGCTTGGAACCTAAGATGATTTAAGATTTTGTTTGTGTATTTAAAAAAGTTTTTTATTTTGATTCTATGTACCTGTTACCCAATTCTCCCAATGGTCACAGCTTGCAAAGAATATACAAGATCAAAATAAAAATACTAACATTGTTACAGTCAGGGTCAGAATATGTCCATCACCACAAGGATCCCTCATGGTGTCCTATCATGGCCACTCCCCATCTCCTTCCTCCACATTTCCTTTATAATCTCTGGCAATCACTAATGTGTTCTATATAGCTATCTAATTTTGTCAATTCAAGAGTGTTATGTAAGTAAAATCATATAGTATGTAACATTTTGAGATTGTTTTTAACTCAGCATATATCTCTGGAGATTTATTAAGGTTATTTCATGTAATAATAGTTCATTCCTTTACAATTCTGTGTAATATTTCAGGGCATGGCTATACAACAGTTTGTTTAACCACTTAACCATTTACTAATGGAAGAACATCTGTGTTGTTACCAGTTTTCAGCTATTATGAATAAGGCTGATATAAACCTATATTGTAGGTATAAGTCTTTGGTGAACACAACTCTTCATTTCTCTGGGATAAATACCCAAAAGTGTCAATGCTCAATCACATGTTAGTTGTTGACATTTGGGATGATTAGAAACTGCAAATATGTTTTCCAGAGTGTCTGGCTGTACCACTTTACATTTCAACCAGCAATGTATGTATTAGCCAATTTCCCCACATCCTTGCCAGCATTTGATGTTTTTACTTTAAAAAAATTTTTAGCCATTCTGATAGATGTATAGTGGTAGCCCATTGTGGTTTTAATTTTTATTTCCTACTAGATAATAATTTTGATGATCCTTTCATGTATTTAATTGCCTCTCTTTTTAAATGAAATGTCTCTTCATGATTTTTATTTATTTATCGTTAGATTGTTATTTTGTAGTTGAATTTTCAGAATTCTTTATATATTCTAGATACTAGACCTTCATTGTATATGTAATGTTCATGTATATCTCCTACTGCGTAGTTATATTTTCATTATCTCCATTGAATCTTTGATACAACAGATGTTTTTAATCTTAACGAAGCCCAATTTATGGCTTTCAAAAAAATAAATCATACTTTTGGTGTCAAGACTAAGAAACCTTTGCCCTAGATCAGTTATCAATTTTTAATTAATTTTTGAATGTATGGAGGTATAATGAACAAATAAAGTTGTAATACATTGGAAGTGTACAATGTGGTGATTTGATATATGTGTACTTGTGAAAGATTCCCACCATTGAGTTAATAACACATCCATCGCCTCACATATTTTTTTCTGAGAACACTTAAGTTCTACTCTCAGCAAATTTTGAGTGTACAATATTGTATTATTAACTATTGTCATTACATTCCACATTAGATATTCAGCACATATTCATCTTGTAACCCAAAGTTCATATCTTTTTTCAACATTTCTCTATTTCTCTACCTTCCAGGCTGCTGTCAACCAACATTCAAATCTCTGTTTCTGTGAGTTTGACTTTTTTCTTCTTGATTTCACATGTAAGTGATGTCATGCAGTAGTTGTCTTTCTCTGTCTAGTATATTTCACTTAGCACAATGCCTTCTAGTTTTATCCATTTTGTTGCAAATGGCAGGATTTTCTTCTTTTTTAAGGCTGAGAATACACATATATATAACACATATGTCATGTTTTCTTTGTCCATTCATTCATCAGACACTTAAGTTGTTCTCATATCTTGGCTATTGCCAATAATGCTGCACTGAATGTGGAAGTACAGATATCTCTTTGAGATGATGATTTTGTTTTCTTTGGACATACTCCCAGTCAAAACCGAAATTGCTGGATCATAAGGTATTTTACTTTTTGAGGATCCCCATACTGTTTTCCACAGTGGCTGTCTTACCAACAGCTCACAAGGTTCCTTTTTTCCCACATCTTCACCAACGTTTGTTGTCTGTTATCTTTTGGATATATCTGACACCCATTATAATATCCACTATTGTTTATTTTTGTATTTTCTTCACCATTTAGAGTGTCTGGGACATTAAAATGATTTTTGAATTGTCAACATCGAATGACGTCAAAGAAATGACCATTGGGCATGACTTTTGACACCAGCTGGAGAATTGGTGGTCATCATTGTCAGAAAGAATCTCAAATATATGATGCTGGTAATCTCTGCTCATAAATATGAATGGGCAATAAATCTTGCCTTCAGATTATAAGAAAGGCTGGAAAATAAATCTTGCCTTCTGATTATAAAAAAGGTTTGTTACCGGAAACAAACACATTTGTGTTCTGTTCTTATTTTCTTGTCAGTCCAGTTTGGTACATATAACATGCTGCTCGGAGATGGGGTCTAAGTGAAATTAATGGCGGATGGACTGTTCTTCTTATGGGGAAACCTCAGACTCTGTCTCTCAAGGGGAATTGGATACCTAAACTGGTGCCTTCCACTGTCTGGCCAACATAAACATGGCTGGGAACAGAGTAGTGTTTTTACAGTTTTTGGTCCCTGGAGATACTTTTTCACTGGGAAAGATATGCTTACTGCATTGAGCAATTGCCTGAGACCCAGAGTTCTCTCACAGCTGCAGCTGCCCTGGACCACCTCTGTGAGATAACTCAGCTCCCCAAGTACCCAGAGGGCATCCTCCTGGAAGGTCTTCCCTATCAATGGGAAGCAGAATGCAAACATTCTCCCAGGACCAAATAAGGAATATGCAATGGCCATACTGCCCTTTAGGGTTTTTAAAATTATTTGTTATTTTTATTTTTTATTTTATTTTATTTAATTTTTGCCCTTTAGTTTTTCACCTCTAGAATGACCACATTTTCCTGGAAAAGCTTTGAAAATTATGACCTTTTTGTTGATCTTCCTCCTTTAGTGCATAACATCAGTCATTTCAATCCCGTCTGAATCCCATTTAAATCCCACCTCCCCCATCTATCACACTCCATCCCTTTTTCCCATCCCCCAACCTTAGTCTTGGTACTGGTGTAAGAGGTGGGTTGGGGAAGTCCTGTTCCTAAACTCCAAGCTCTCAGGCTAATGTGACTCAATGAGTACTTTAAAAAAATCTCTGCGGCTTACTTGTCACAGGCAGAAACACACATTTCTATCCCTTCAATATCCATCTCAGGCAAGGATTATTATCTGCCTCCTCCATGGAAGTAATAATAATGAATACTTAGTGACTTCATACTATGTACTAAATACTGTCCTGAGTGTCATACATCAATGATTGCATACGATTTTCACAAAAACACTGAGGGGTAGATACTGTTATTATCCCTAATAAACAGATGAGGATAACAAGCCTCACAGAGAGTATATTGACCTCATAAGTCACTCTACTGTTTGATCTTTCCGTATAACTGGGCTTCCTTTTAGAGAGCCATGAATATCCCCTGGGGTGGACAATCCTTAATCTTTGATAACAGTTTTGGTTTTTGGAAAGAGCCCTAAATGGAAGAAGATTCAGAGGGCAGGAAATCAAGTTGGTGCTATGTTTGGGCAAATAGCAGGTGTGGCCTCAGGAAAGGGGTTCCTGGAAGGTTTCAGTCTTGCAGGCTCTTTGAAATTGGTTATTCATGGTTTCTTAATGCTCAAAGCACATGATATTTAGAATGGGGATGGGGTTTAGAGGTCATCTGATTTAATAACCAGTTTTTAGTAGAGTTCAAAAAGATTATATGAAGTAGACAATGTTACCTACCTATTGGTGGAACAGAAACAATAGTTCAACCAACATTCTATCCCAAATCCTTTCCCAGGGCTTTGTCCCCTCTGAATACAGGGGATCAAACATCATCCTCTTTAGGCTACTTTTTAAAAATGCTTAGGAATATATTTTCTTTAATTCAATATATCCAAAATACAATCATTTCAACATGCTCTTGATATAAAATTGATAGAGAAATAGCATACATTTATTCTTTGCTAATTATTGCAGTGAAACATATATAACAAAATTTATCATTTGAAATTTCTTTAAGTGTATAATTAAGTGGGACTGAGTATATTCACATTGTTGTGAACCATCACCATTATTCATTTCTAGGAATTTTCATCACTTCAATCTGAAATTCTGTACCCATTAAACAATAACTCTACCTCCTCTCCTCCCTCCAGCCCCTGGTAACTTCTATTCTACTTTTTGTCTCTACGAATTTGCCAGTTTTAGGTATTTTGCATAAGTGGAGTCATGCAATATATGCCCTTTTGTGTCTAGCTATGTCACTTAGCTTGTACCACTTAGCATAATATTCTCAGGGTTCACCTATGTTGTAGAATGTATCAGAATTTTATTTCTTTTTATGGGTGAACAATATACCATTGTATGTATACCCCTACATACATTGTATGTATTTATTCATTCATCTGTTGATGAACACGTGGGTTATTTCCACCTTTTTGACTATTGTGAATAAAACTTCTATGAATATTGACATATAAGTCTTCAGAGGACTTTTAAAAATAAAAATCTTAGGGCAAAGGGAAGGGTAGGAAAGACACGAAGAATATTAGTAAGTTGAACTGTGGTGGTATACAGTGGGGAATTTGGGGAGCAAGAGATACACACTTTATTAAATTGTCAGTCTGGCCATGCTCTTAGGTATCTGGAAGTAGGCAGGAAGGTGTCATTGAGATACAGTAATGCACAGGAGGAGAGAGGCAGATGTGGGTTGTGGGGAGACACACAGATGGTTCAACCTCATGAAATGAGGCCCCTTATCTCATTGTTTGGAGTGAGTCCTAATACCTGAATCTCCACTTTTACAAAGCACAGGCACGCCTTTGTTTCTATAGGGAAGTCTCCTCTGTGTTCCATTTTCTCTCTTTCCCTCAGTCCTGTTCTATATGTATTGACTAGCTGCTCTGAGCAGGTAATCATGATTGGATGCTCTGAGGTTACTTTCTCTTAAGTGAGAGCCCACAGGTTGGAGTCTCCCCCATGGTTTATCCGCCTATCCTCCACCCAAGATTTGTTCAGTGAAACTACTGAGGGGGAACAGGCCCAATGATTATAGTCAGATTTAAGGTTCTCATCATATCCTGAGAAAAGATGCATTAGCATCTTACAGTTGTACCAATACACTGCACTGGTGGGAAAGAACACTGGGAAACCTCTCATATCTTCAAACTGAGTTTAGAGGATTCTATAAATACAAAAAGAATAGGTATAACACTTAGCAAAATTTAAAATATACTTTTATTGTATCTTATAATTAAGTTAAAATCCAGACATTTGAAATGTTTGACAGATACAGAATACACTAAAAATGGGAGGCACAATTGAGAAGGTATAAGAGATAAATAGACAAAAGTATTATTATCCCTTAATCTGGAAAGAAGTCAAATGTAGAATATGAAAGGTGGTTGTAAAACATGAAGAGTAATCTGGATATGTAGCCCACAAAAGGGCAGGGTTACCTCTCAAAACACATAGTCATTCATCTCATAAAGCACACAGCAGAGAGAAAATAGGATTGCACAAGGGGAGGAAATAAATGGCAGATGTTAAACAGAAAGCAATACAACATGGAAGTTAAGTAACTGTATTTGATCAGCAAATGCAATTTCCAATCTCGGCAAATAACTAACATATTTTTTGAAAAACTTGTTTCCTGCACTTAGAAATATTTTGTTAGGACACATTTTCAAAAGTGAGATTTCAGCATTAAAGCCTATAACTTTTAAAAAGTTCTTGTTGCATCCTGCCAATTATACCTGCCATCAGCTGTGATGTTCAAGGATATACACTTTAATACAGTTTTCTTTTTCACTGTGGATTTTCATTAATGAAACTCCTAATTTGAAAGACAAAAATGAGGCCTTGGGTTACTAGTCATATAGAGTAATTTTCATTTTTTAAAAAAGATTTTATTCATTTATTTTTAGAGAGAGGGAAAGAGAGGGAGAAAGAGAGGGAAACATCAATGTGTGGTTGCCTCTTTCATGCCCCATACTGGGGACCTGGCCCACAACCCAGGCATGTGCCCTGACTGGGAATCAAACCGATGATCTTTTGGTTTTCAGGCTGGCAGTCAGTCCACTGAGCCACACCAGCCAGGGCTAATTTTTCCCTTGTTTTGAAGCAGGAGTGTCCAACCTTTTGGCATCTCTGCACTACAATGACAGAAGAAGGTTTATTCTGGACCGCACATTAAATACGTTGTGACATGTAGTCACAAAACAAATCTCATAATGTTTTAGGTAAATTTATGATTTTGTGTTGGGCTGTGTTCAGAGCCGTCCCGGGCTCCATGCAGCCCATGGACTGCAGGTTGGATACCCCTGTTTTAAAGCCAATTGCACTTTTTTGTTACTCTATTTTTAAAAAAATACTTTTTGGAGCATCAGTAGATTTTCTAATTAATTTTTTATATAATAAGGATATCAGTAATGTTTTGATCTATGGAAGGAAATCATGATATTTCCTTAAATATCACTCTGAGCTGAGGCAGAATTTAGAGATCTTACCAGAGAAAAACACTGAACTGCTTATAAGAAACTGAAATTAAGCGAGCATTAGTAAGTAGTTATATCAAGCCATTAAGGATAAGGGGAAATGTGGTGGTAAGGGTCACCTGCATCATACAGTCTGAAGATCCTTGTCACAGCTGATCTTGAACATAGCCAGAACTCGAGTTCTGATCTGTTTGGTTTTGGCACCGTAGATGATGGGATTTATTACGGGAGGTAGAAGTAGGTAGACATCACCCATGAGAACGTGCACAATGGGAGGAAGGCTGTTTCCAAAACGGTGCACCACTGAGAGGCCAATGAGAGGCACATAGAAGGCTAACACCACACTGATGTGTGACACACAGTTTCCAAAGGCCTTGGCCCGCTCTGACTTGGAGGGCAGTTGTAGAACTGTTCGTATAATCAGAAAATAGGACAAGGTGATGAACAAGACATCCATGCCCATAACCAACAGAATGGCAGTAAGACCATAGACCACATTGGGCAATGTGTCCGTGGAGGCCAACTTCATCACATCCTGGTGTACACAATAGGAATGTGAGAGCACATTGGAGCGGCAGAAGGCCAGCCGCTTGATGAGCAGAGGCAGTGGGATAAAAAAGAGAGATCCACGGACTACGGCCACTATGCCAATCTGGGCTGTTACGGTATTGTTGAGCACTGCAGCATGGCGCAATGGGTGGCAGATGGCTATATAACGGTCAAAGGCCATGGCCAGCAGGATGGTGGACTCTATAGCTGAGAGAGCATGAATAAAGAACATCTGGGCAATGCAGGCATCAAAGGTAATCTCCTGGGAATCAAACCAGAAGAGAGCGAGGATCTTGGGCATGATGGATGTGGACAAGGCCAGGTCAATGGCTGCCAGCATGCAGAGAAAGAGGTACATGGGAGCGTGCAGGCTGCGCTCCATCCTTATGATGAAGACCACGATGCAGTTTCCAAATACTGCCATGACATACATTGAGAGCAGGGGGAAGCCTATCCAGAAATGAGCTTCTTCTAGTCCTGGGATACCAATAAGCACAAAGGTGGCATGTGTGAAGTTGCAGGAACTCATAGTTGGCACGGAGAAGGGGGCACGGAGAAGGTCAGGTCACACTGGCAGCCTGGTAGGACATGGAGCACAATCAGAGAGGCCAGATCTGGAAACTTGGGGACTGAATGCACTTTAGCTCTCCTTCCCTGTTCTCTCCTCCTTCTTCCAAGCCATTTAGGCTCTCATAAGCTATGAAGCCATCTTCCAAAGGGGAAAGTGACAACTCGCATTCATTTACTGATCATTATTCTTAAGGTTCATTTACATATTTAAAAGGGAACCTGGGAAGAATGAAGCTTATCCAAAAATGTATCCTTCTCAAGTTCCCTCAGACTCCTTCTTCTGGCCCATAACTTCATTGCCTAGATACTGGGTGGTCCTTTACTCAGATAGATATTAAGAGATACCCTATTAGGAACTGGTTCAAGATAGGGCTGTGTCCTCTCCTCTCCTCTCCTCTTTTCCACCTCCATCTTTTCTCTTCTTTTCCTTCAGTTATTCATTCCTTCCATAAGCATTGACTTATATGACTTACTGTGTATGAAGTTATTTGCTGGATGCTATTGATACAGAGGTGAAAGACCTCTGTACACCTTTTACCCTTCAGATATCTTGCCTAGGTTGGAAGACAGATAAGTAACAAAATTATTAGAGTTTTGGGAGAAGTGTTAGCATAAAGTGTGCATTTAATGCATGGGCAGGGGAGAGGAATGATCAGAGAAACCTTCCTGAATAAGATGATTTTTCTATTCAGTGTTGAAACATGAATAGAACTCACACAGACAGAGAAGGAGATAAAGGGCATATTCAGCCACTGAGAATGAGGAGCGTTTTTTTTTCTTCAAATTTTTAAGATTCCATGTCCCCAGATCTAAGGTCAGTGGTGGTGGTGTGTGTGTGTGTGGGAGTGGAGGTGGGGTGAGAAAGAAAAACAACAGCATTTTTTGAATTAAAAAGAAAAATACAAAGCCAAAAAGATAAAAAATAAATCTACTAAGAAAAAAAGGAAACATTTGGGGTCATTGAATAAAAGGCAGTACCTCTGTCTTATGACTTCCCTGAAGATAAAGGTGCTGACAGGTCGTGTAGCCTCCAGCAGATCCTAGCTGTTTGGCACGGTCCCTGTGAAGGCTCTTCTCTCTGCCCCTGGCTGATGGGTTCCTACACACCTGAGAGCTGCCTCCCAGGCCACTCTCATTGCCTCAAAGAGAACTGGGGCTAAGTCCAGATACTCCTAGAGCTTTGTCTTTCCCGGAACACTGACCAACAAGTCATTCATATTAGGGCAGACATTTGCTATTTGGAAACCCGCTATTGCTCTGCCCCACCACCTCCCCAAGCCTAAACACACGTGCTCTGACTTCATTAAATGTTTTCCCTACTAGGCCCCCTAGTGCCCTGGTTTTTTACACTAGAGAAAATTAGTGCTCTAATTTTCTCTAAATAGCCAAGGCCTTGTTTTCAAGAAGAGCCTCTGAATCTTGGGAATAAAGTCTGAAGGAGTTTTTATCAGTGGTATTCAGGTTAACCTGTTCATCTTCCTAGGATTCTTCTTCTCTCCTAACCTGGGTCCTTACTGCAACTGGGAGATGCTTTCCCATTTGGCCTTAGTGGAGAGTTTAGAAACCAGTGGTCTTAAAATAAATATGATAATATGGGAACTAAAAGATTTGACTTCATCATGGATATGCCAGGAAGAACAAATCCAGGACTTAAGGCTTATAAAATTCATACTTCTGACCACTATTTGCTCATCTCCATCCTCAGAACTTGACATAATAGCTACATTCCTTGACAAGTACAGATCCCAACTTTGGACCCTAACTACTGTCATAAAATAAAAAGCCCTTTTCAGAAGCAGATAATTGCAGCCTTCAGTGAGATAAAATGTAGCTTATATATTGTATCCAATCATCTATGTATTTATCATAGGTATCTTGGGGAAAGAGATTCAGAAATACAAACAGATCAGGCTGAAAAGTATGTGGTAATGCTAAGGTAGCTTCCCTGGTGGGAAGCCAGATCACTGGACCTCTGTGTCCAAGAGAAATGGGACCCGGGTGAAGAAAAGAGTAGGCATGGAAGGTAGTAAGAGGAGCACAGTAACATATCCTCCCTTTCCAGAGGCCTCCTGCCCATGGTGCTGCATGCAGCACTCACAGATATAAGGGTCTCTTTTGGCCACAGAGTCAGGTATTGTCCTGACCCCTCTCTCCACAGGGCATCTTTTCTGCCTTGCTGGTAGCAGTCTAAGATTTGGCCCATCATCTTGTTTTCCCAGTTACCTATTCCAGAAGACCTCATGTCTCCCTCCCGTGTTGCCTAGCCTTCTGCCTAACATGACCCCTGACTAGACTCAATTTCTACTTCTCTTTGTGTCTAAATGTGGCTGTCGTATTCATACTCACTTGCCTTACTGGATAGTCAGCTAATTCTCTGGGACATTCCTTTTTGTCTTATGAAGGTGTGAGTGGCACACAAGGACTCCCCCTGTCCTGTCATGAGGCGGTTTGTGAGGTCTTCAGGTTCCCTTAGGATAGCAGGATTTGGGCTTTCTAAAACCAGGAGAAGATGCAGTCCCTTGAAAATGGTGCAGTCTTACTGAGAGGGAACAGCTGGAGCTGGCTCGCCCCTTCTGGCACAGGCTTATTCATAATGCTGCCCAGGAGGCCCATGGGAATAGGCTGGGAGCGTGAAGTGAGGCTCCCAGGGTGTGGTGGGCGGTACAATAACTCTATGTTCTTTTACATGTCATTCCTACAAGGTTCATACTGTTTCTGTCTCTGGGGGGAAGGGGAAATCGCCAAGGGCCCATCACCCCACACTTACAGATATATGGCTCTGGACAATCTGTCTCCCTGTTGCAGGTGACTCAAACTCTCACAGTCAGCCACAGTCAGTGCTTTTCCTTGTTAGCCACTTGGCCAAACACAATAGCCAAGGTGCATTTATTAGTTTTGTCCTTGGAACCTAGAAGTTCAAATCCTCTTTAAAAACCAAGATGTGCACAGGTAATGTAGTCTTGTCATTCAAAGGGTGGGCATGCACTTCTTCAGCTTTTCTTTTTCCATGTTTCCTTTCAAGTGATGAAACAGACCTTGATGTATGGAAGTCACTCTTTACTGCACCTGTGTTATAGAGAAAGGTGAGATGAGATAAAAGCTTGCTGTGTTAGGTCACATAGTTAATTAGTGATAATATCAGTTGGAGAATCAGTTTTTCTGACTGTTTATTCATTCACATCCAACATTTACTTATCAAGGGCTCATAGTATAAAAAGAAAAAAAAAACAGCCTCCCCCCCCCGAAAAAAATAAAAACCTCTCATCTTTATGGAGTATACATTCTAGTGACAGGGATAGACAATAAATGGAGTTAATAAAAAAACCCAAATAGAATGTTAAGTAATCTTAAGGATACAAAATAAAAGAAAGATGGGAATTAATAATTATCAAGGGGGCAATTGAAATTTTAAATGAAGTTGCCAGGGAAGGCCTTACAAAAGGGAAACATTTGAGAAGAAGGCTGAAGGGAGGGGGAAATATATTTATGAAGATATTTGAGAAAGGCCATTTCAGGAAGAAGATACAGAGATTACAAATGAAGTTCTAAGAAGGGAGTATATTTGGTAGTTTAGAGCAACAAGGAGACCAGTGTGCCTGAGCAGACAGACAAGGGGGATAACAGCAGGGAGATGAAATTATAGAAGTGATGGGGAATTTAGTCATACAGGCCCTTATAGGACTGACAGGACACTAAGGGGTTTCATTTAGACTCTGGGTTTGAGTAGCTACAATAGTGGTCATATGTCTTCTACTGGTCTGGCTTTCAGGAAAGTCTCTGATTCATTGTGAGCTTGCCTACCTTAGTCAGAACATGATATTTGCTCTGCAAATCACCTATTTCTGAAATATCCAAATTAGTCACTCCTTAGAGATGTAAGTTTATAAGTTTCAAAGATTGTTAGGCTCTGGAGCTATTCACACATTAGTGTGTGGGGGTGAGGTGGGAGAGAAACATCTATAGAGGTAGTGTGAGCATCTTGGCTGTCTGCGTCTTGAGTCTGAAGTTACTTCTCCTTTCTATTGTTAGGACTCTGAGTACCCCCTCTCTTTTTTTTCTCTAGCCCACATCACTCTTTCTCTTTCTCTCTTCCCTCTGTCCATACTCCACCATATTTTGTCTGTTGAAACAGGCTCCCAGCATGCAATTCCACATTATCTGAACTTTTTCACTTACATCTAACAGTGAATAAAATATATGCCTGGTCCTGAGAAGTGGGCAGAGTCTGTTGCGGAGAGATGGTTACAGTAGGTTCTGAAGAGGGATGTCATGCACAAGGAAAAAAAAACACAGGTGCTGCAGGAGCACCTGGGAAGGACAACAGACAGACTTGAGAAGTCAGAAAAAAGTCTATGAAGAAAATTCAAAATTTAAGTCAGGAGGAGGGAGAGAGTGAGGGTACTACAAGTGGAAGTAACAGCTTGTCAAAGGCTTGAAAGTGAGATAGAGCCATCAGGGTTAAGGACATGCTAGTTGTCTTATGTGCCTGGAGCAGCACACAGAGGGAAAGTGCTAAAGCTTGAGAGAGGAACAGAGCCAGGTCATCAGAGATTTTATTCTTTTTATCACATGTAAGCCCTGTTTTGATATCTAGAAGACAGAATAAATAAAACCAAGGACTTATGCTCAATTATTTTACCTTGTAATGAGAAACAAGAAAAAAAAATAAACAGATATTTAGTATTCTGGGGGATAAAAGTTCTAGAAACTGAAAACAAGGTGGGTAGGGAAAAGAGTGAATGCAGACAGGAATTGAAGGGGAGAGGTGTTGCTATTTTTTATAATGTCAAGGGCCCTGTAATAAGGTGATGCTTAAGCAGAAACATTCATAAAGTGAGACAGTAAATCATGTAGGTACCTGGGGGAAAATATTTCAGGTGGAGAGAACAGCAAATGTGAAGTCTGATGTTGAAGCATGCTTGGTGAGTGTAAAGAAATATTTGGCGGTTAGTGTGGGTCGGTATAGGAGAGTGGATAAAGGGAAGAATAGCTGGAGATGAAGTTGAGTTGGTGAAAAGGAGTCAGGTATAAAATATAATGACTGTGAATTTCCCCTGGGTAAAACAAAAGGCTATTGGAACCTGTTTAACAGAGGAAGTGACATGATTTGTCTTGTGTGTTTGTGTTGTTTCCTGGTGAAGAAAGATCCACCAAGAGACTATCATATTCAGTTTGAAGATGACAATGGATTGGATCATGGTAATAGTAGCAGAGGTGGTAGAAAGTTGGATTTCAGAAATTGATATCTGAAATATCTGGAAGAAAGAGTTATTAGCATTTGCTGATAAGTTGGCCATGGAATGGGAGAGAGATGCACCATGCCTGGAAGTGTTCTGTCTCAGCAAATTAAAAAGCAGATTTTCTAAGGTTTTTCTTGGGGGGAGTGTAATTCCTCTTTTTAAAAAAATATACTTTATTGATTATGCTATTACAGTTGTCCCATTTTCCCCCTTCACCCTACTCACCCCTCCCCCTATTCCCCTACCTTTAGTTCATGTCCATGTGTCATGCTTACAAGTTCTTTAGCCTCTACATATTCCATATTATTCTTAACCCCCCTGTCTATTTTCTACCTATCATCTATGCTACTTATTCTCTGTACCTTTTCCCCCTCTCTCCTCCTCCTCCCGCTATCCTGTTGCTAACCCTCCATGTGATTTCCATCTCTGTGGTTCTGTTACTGTTCTAGTTGTTTGCTTAGTTTGTTTGTGTTTTTGTTTTAGGTGTGGTTGTTAATAACTGTGAGTTTGCTGTCTTTTTACTGATCATATTTTTTTATCTTCTTGTTCTTAGATAAGTCCCTTTAACATTTCAATAATAAGGGCTTGGTGATGATAAACTCCTTTAACTTGACCTTATCTGAGAAGCACTTTATCTGCCCTTCCATTCTAAATGAAAGCTTTGCTGGATAGAGCAATCTTGGGTGTAGGTCCTTGCCTTTCATGACTTGGAATACTTCTTTCCAGCCCCTTCTTGCCTGCAAGGTCTCTTTTGAGAAATCTGCTGACAGTCTGATGGGAACTCTGTTGTAGGTGACTGTCCCCTTTTCTCTTGCTGCTTCTAGGATTCACTCCTTCATTTTAATCTTGGCTAATGTAATTATGATGTGCCTTGGTGTGTTCCTCCTTGGGTCCACCTTCTTTGGGACTCTGAACTTTCTGGACTTCCTGGAAGTCTATTTCCTTTGTCAGATTGGGGAAGTTCTCCTTCATTATTTGTTCAAATAATTTTTCCACTTGTTGCTCTTCCTCTTCTCCTTCTGGTACCCCTATGATTCAGATGTTGGAATGTTTAAAGGTGTCCTGGAGTTCCCTAAGCCTCTCATTTTTTTGAATTCTTGGTTCTTCATTCTTTTCTTGTTGGTTGCTTCTTTCTTCCTTCTGATCTACTTCATTGATCTGAGCCCCAGTTTTCTTCCCCTCACTATTGGTTCCCTGTACATTTTTCTTTATTTTACTCAGCACAGCCTTAAGTTATTCATCTAATTTGGTACCAAATTCAACCAATTCTATGAGCACCGTGATCCCCAGTGCTTTGAATTGTGCATCTGATAGGTTGGCTACCTCTTCGTTGCTTAGTTGTATTTTTTCTGGAGCTTTGATCTGTTCTTTCATTTGGGCCCTTTTTTTTTTTTTTGTCTTCTTGCACCTGTTATGTATGCAGGGTGGAGCCTTAGGTGTTCACCCAGGTGGGTCAACCCAGTTCGCTGGGTTATGACACTGTATGTGGGGCAGGGATCAGAGAGGAAACAATGGTGCTTTTTCCTCTCTCTGAGGGATTTCAGTCCCTTCTGCCACTTCCCAGATGCTGATTCCCAGGTGGGTGGGCTTGTGTACATTCTAGGACCCTGTGCGTCTCTCAAACAAATTCTCCTGTGAGTCTCTCCTGGCACCTCAACTCCTACAGGTATTTTTGGTTGGTGTTTTGAGGCTTTATTTCCCCACACTGAAGCCCTGAGTTGCATGGCCTGTCTTGCTCCCCAGTTTCCTGGTTTATCTGCATGTGAATGTGGGACCATCAAGTCCACCAGCTGCCTTGCATGCTGCGCCTGTCCACAATCCGCCACCTCGCTGGATCTGCCTGCTGCCACCCGGTGCCCAGGGTCTGCCAGCTGCTGCCTGGGCACCTGGGGTCTGCTCGCTGCCATCTTGCATACCTGGGGTCCGTCAGCTGCTGTCTTGTTTGCCCAGGGTTGCCAGCCACCACTTTTTTTTTTTTTTTGCTGTGACCCCTCTCCATTCCTCCTACCAGTCTGGATGAATGTGTTTAAGTCCTTGGTTGTTGGACTTTCATACAGTTCAATTTTCTGTCAGCTGGTTGTTTTTTTGTTTCTAAATTTTTGTTGTCCTTATTTTGGTTTTGTGAGGAGGCACAGTGTGTATACCTATGCCTCCATCTTGGTTGGGAGTCTGATTTTCTGAGTTTTGAGAGACTGTGGTTGATCATGTTTTTGTTTTGATGTGAGTACATGGACATAATGAGTCTAACATTATTACTGGACATTCAGGTGGAAATACTGATATGTAGGCAGTTAGATATGAGTCTGAAATATAAATATTAGCTTGGGATTTTCAGCATATAGATGGTATTTAAAGGCATAAAGCCAAATGAGATGACCAAAGTGGAAATACAACAAAGGAAAACAACAGGTCTGGGAACAAAATCCTGGGACCTTTCGGCATGCACAGATCAAGAAGATGATGATTATAATAACTGAGACTAAAATATTATTGATAAATATGCTGAGAATTTTGACATCATCCTTATTATTAAATAGTAATATAGTCACGTAATGAGTTCCCCGTAGATGTGACTTCTACTTCTTTGTTGAAGCTAATACCACTGACAGGGCCCACATTCACTGAGTGATTCCAATGTGTCATTGAAGTATGTGCTTTAAAAATTTGAGACTTAATGGATATAT